GGTTGATTAGCACCCCTCTAGACACGGCAATTGTTTCCACCGATCAACACTCCATAACCATGGAAGTTCCGATTCCAAGCCACGTCGCACTGGTCACAATACCAAGAGGAACATTCGTACGCATAGGGGACAAGGTATTATATAACCTAGACAAAAGCCTACACCAAGCGGAGGTAGAAATCGTAGACACATTCCGAGGCCACAAGTTTGAGATAAGCAGCACTCTGTCCAACTTGTTGAACAGTAAAGAATTCCATATGGTGAGATTATCCCTCAGCGAATCAGAGATTAACATAACAGATCTTACTTGGGCGACCGAAGTGGCTGGATATCAGCGAAATCAACAGATGGGGATGGGAATCACAGGGGCAACAGGGATGATCATACTAGTCCTGGCTATTCTAACCTTAACATACCGTGTGGCCAAAATGAATGCCGAACTTAAAAGACTAATCGCAGGCACAAGCCACATACCATTCGAGCCCAGGAACAGGGATAGAGCCAAGGCCTGATGATGCCACCCAAGAGTAACCGTAGAAACTATCTTTTTAACGATATCTCCTATAACATGTAGTCAATAGAATAACTTTCCCTCCCTTATCGTTTTACCTTCCTTTAGAATTTTTCCTCTCTCTTGTCACATATAACCTGTTAAGTTGTGACACGTACGCGCGCGTTGTAAGGAATAGCAGCAAAACTTGAGGACAATCGATGGTTCATGATGGAAGAAGGGTATACATATTTTTAAAAATAACCCGTGGCCATTTGACCACTGGTCATTTTTAAAAGGGCGGAATGTTGTATACTAACCCTTCTTCCAAAATTGAGATTAATAATATTTGATGATTTTTATATATTATCTTTTTACTTGTTTTTTTAATGAATGAAACACACCAAAAGCGCAGCAAACTGCAAAACACCAGGTGTTGTTAAGTAATGAACTGGAGGAGGGCTAGGATGGCAGAATTTGCAACCTTGCTTCAAGGAAAGATAAGGCCTGATGAACGGGCACATGTCACCCGTGCAGGCGGCAGAGACAGTGGGAGTGTCAGCCAGACATAGTTAAGGCAAAAAGCCCAACCATCCTGCATGGTTTTAAAGTAACGTCAAAATTCGAAATTCAACAACAGAGTAGGCTAAATTATCGATCCTCGCGCTCGCTCAAATTGGAGACCAGGCTGCGAGCTACATCAATGAACCATTGCCCATTTGCTGATCCAATACTGAATGTTAATATTACTGAAGTCAAAACGAATTCTATGACCTCAGCACATGGGCAAATAATAGGGCAGTGTCGACTCAAAGGCAATGGAAGAAACAGAGGCGCCTTTGTCTAAATCACAACCACAGAAAGCCAGGAATCATCACTGATTGTGTGTTCAGGGATTCCGAGCTAGTTAGAACACGTGCACAGGGGGGGAGCTGATGTAAACAACCCTGCACGTCTGAACGTGAGGGGGCCTTTGACCTGAAAGTAAGAATAACACTCCCAGAGCAGAAGGTTGGATGACCACAGTGAGACGAGAATAAGAGTGGTGTATATCTCTCAAGGAGGCAGACCCAGCTGAACAACAAGGCTGCGGGGGTCACCAGAAGTTCGCATTCGCCTAGTTAAGACAAAAAGCCCAATTATTCTGTATTGCTATTAAAGTAACGTTAAAGTCGGAATTTAACAACAGGGTAGGCTAAAGTTATCGATATTCACACCCACTCCAATTAAACCAGGCCACAAGTTACGCCTACTGAACCATCACCATTATTAAGTCAATATGAAATGTTATTTCCATACTTCAATACTTTCTATACAATTCGACCCGAAGCATATGACAATCAGAACCTTCCTAAGTCAAAATTGAATCGCACCCAGACAGGAGCGAATAGTCAATATAAGGTTGAAGAGGGAAGGAAATCAAGAGCACGGCGAACTGCAAACGTAAGCAAAAGCCGGGAACAACACCAGCCCAGCAACAGCGAGTGGGGCTTCGACAGGCCATAAAGTAGAATAATAACTCCCGGGGTCAGGGGACACAAGAAGAAGCAGGCAGACAAAAACCAGAACTGACTCCAAGGTTCAACCGCCCTCACCTACTCAGGAGTGACGGAAATTAATGAGGCCTTGAATTAACGGCAGGCAACAACAACGGCGAGCAGAGATAGGGTGGGGCAAAGACTGCGGGCTATGGAATGCAACTTCGTGTCAGTAAAGCCCTGACAAACAAGTTAAGTTAAAGACATCACAATACATAATATCGCACATAACATCAATGTTAACGCTATTCACCGTAAGCTATATTCCGCTTATATAACCATGCAGGCACCAAGGAATACGAATTCCTAGGATCAAGAAACTTACCCCTTAACCTAAGATATCGGGAATAAATTTATAGTAATAAGTATATGCATAAAAAGACAAAAGTAAAACTTATGGAAAAGCCAGGATAACGGGATGAATCACCACCAGGTGGAATATAAATACATAAAAAAAAAACAATGTTAAACCCAGGGTCGGAGAGAAAGGGAGATCCCGGCCGTCTTTGTATCCCCGCAGCGCGGGATAGGAGTGTGTATACGCTCGGGGAAACACCTCCACTGGAGTCAAACATCACGATGAAACGACAGACCTTAGGTTACATACAGAATCATAACTGTGAAATAGTAAGGGACAAATGTTAACTTAAAACTTTTAACCATTTCTTTGTGCGCCGGGTCGGAGAGAGTGTTGCCCCTCCCTCCAGGTTGTGCAACACGAACAAAGACGCCTATGAGACGATTTGTAACGTCTGTGTTTTGGGTCATGAAGAAGGCCAGACAAGAGATAATATTGCACCCAGACAGAGAGACGACTTCGAGGCAATTTGTAACATCTGATTGTTTGCTCGTGGGTTTTATGGAGGGAGTGTGACAACGAATATACCGTCAGTGATGCACACAAGGACACACGGACATACGGACAGACACATGGACACACCTGCCTACGGACAGATCCTGACACAGCAAAAATCGGAAGAAGCCCCGCCTTGTGGGCGGGATCCAGGGGGAATTTTCGGCATAAAGTAAAGGATCCTGAGCATTGGAAACCAGTGCGACGGGAGGGTCCACTCAGAAGCTCGACCGGGAGGGTCGACTCAGGAACGAGTGCGACCAGAGCGGGTCCACTCAGGAGTGCGACCAGAGAGTCGACTCAGGAGCGAGGGCGACCAGCGGGTCGACCCAGGAGCGAGCTCGACCGGGAGGGTCGACTCAGGAGCGAGCTGCGACCAGCGGGTCGGCTCGACTCATCTTCAGCTCGTCAATCTCTGCTGCCGCCGGAGATCTCCGCTGCCGCCGGTGGTGAGCGTCGCGACTTGGCGACGATCCAGCGCTGCACGCTACGAGCGAGTTGTGGGCGCCACCTACCGACCGGGTTCCGAACTGCGACAGCGTATCAACAGCCATCCGACAGGGGAGCGATGGATACGTATGACGCGCACCGCCCCCTCACCACACGACCACCAGGCGTCTGTTTGACCTAAAGAATCGACTCCGAACACTGACTATTCAAGACAACTCTTACCACTCAAACACACTCGAACCCATAAGCCATCCGTGGCTGGAAAGCATCACAACGAGACCGAGTGGTGGCCATCCGTCGTTTATAAGAGTATTCTTAATTTTTATCTTTAATATTTAGTGGGCTGTACTCTTAATCGCATAAATTCCCAACAGATCCATCAATACGAACTGATTCTTGGCACCTCCTTCCGCCGAGCCACGCTCACGTGGGGAGTGGTGGCCCACCGGATCCTTATCAGGTGATCTGGTCCCCAATTAGTAAACTTGGTATAAGATAACAATCTTCGGAAAAGGAGCACCGTCGCAGGCCCTTACTCCGAGCCGTTCTGCTGTCAGATAACCTGCCGATGTATCTGTTGAGATTGGTGCCTTTAAGAATAGTAACTGTTTTGATTGTGTTTTTTTTTTTCCCCGCCGTATAATCTTTCAAGTATCCTTCAGTCATAATCGCCGCACGTACTCGCATCCTCTACAGAATATTCAACTGTCCCGTGACCCAAGGTGTTAACAACGTGATAAGGGTTGCGTATGATCAATAAGGAGTGCGGTACTGCGTGAACAATATTGAGTATAATCATTCATTAACGTTAAGGTTTTCTTAGCATAGTATTTGCATGTTTTAACGACTCTCTCTCTCACTAACAACCATCGCGTTATGCGGGATCCATGTGCAATTGTCAAAGTGAAATCAGACAATCGTTGATGATACTGTATTGATGCCGTATTGACGTTCCGGGATTGAGAGTTCGCATACTATATCATAGTTAAGGTTGAATTAGTAATAAATTGATCAATACAGAAGTGGTTGTGTGATTCTTTCCTGAAATCTATGCATAAGATCTGCTTCTGCGTTGAGATTTGAACTTGGTGACCTTAATAAACACACTAATACATACTCAGTAAATGTTAAAGCGATAACGGGGTGAACCGGGGTCTGGTTATCATAACGACTTGCGTTATCATAATTACACCCACTCGCATAATTAATACGATTACCTCTCGAATTGGCATAATTAAAATGTGCGTAATTACATAATTAACATATTTCCGGATAATTACACATTTGGCCAAATTTCATTAATTATTATTATTTCCACTGAATATTCATAACCCACACATACAACATAATAATTCACCCACGCACGCATACAACATAACAAATTTTCATAACCAACATATACAACACTACCCTCGTCGTTGGCAAGGGATTACTACTGTATTTGGCTGCTATCAATTTCCACGTGAGAAGCCACTTCCTTGAGCTATCGTTTGAAGTCAGGTGGTTTCTGAAAAAGAGCCACACAGCTCAGTGGGCTCGACCTGGTGAAATAAAAGACAGCTTAATGTAGTTTCACTTTTTAAGTTTAGCAATTCCACTGCCTGCACGCCGCTCCGATCGACCTCGCCACCGCCCGGCCCCACCGATGGCTCACGCGGCGGGGGCGTACATTTGTCTCGACATGCCGTGCACCGGGATGGTGCCATCGCGCCGCCGGCCCTCCGCCTCCTCCTCCGCGTCCTCCTCCTCCTCGTCGTCCTCCTGGTCCGAGTCGGCGGACTCGTCGCTCGACGAGGAGTACTCCGTCGACTTCTGCGCCACCCGCCCGGTGTCCGACAGGACCTGCGGGCGGCAGGGGGTGGCAGCAATCGTCACGTGCGGTCGGGTTCGTGGCGATAGAGCGGGGTGGCAACGGTGACCAGCACGGGGCCCGAATTGGCGCAGGGCTCGGGTTGCCGCGATGTGCCGATACTACGATATATCGCGAGATGCAAGGTTTGCGATAATCGTATCGTGACAAATGATTTTTGGGAACTCTACACAGTGCAAAGCTACAGGTGGTGTAACACAGCGAAGCATGGGCAGTAGAGTTTAGAGTCGGTAGATTCATAATGTATTCATCTAACAACCAGAATCTTGGTTGGTGTGTACATTTTCCATTTTTATTTTTTTATTATCTATTATCTATTGAGTCCCAGGCCCTGTCCTTTTAAAACAATGATTCAGTTGCATGCATGATTTTAATTCTATTTTCTTTGTCTTTTTCCCCAAATGTTACCCCAACTGTGCTATCGGCATCATGCCGCGTCACAAGACAAAGAATCCATTCGCAACTCTCCTTAGAGAAGTGTAACACCTCATTATGTTCCATTCGCGGCATGCACCGACACTTGTTTCTTTTGTATCGTGACCTATGTAACGACGTTTGTGGAACTAAGATCTGTACCCGTCGCAGGACGCCCATGAAATAGCGCCGAGCATCTCATTGGGCCCTTCTTGCTGAAATAAGTACAATCCATCAAGATAGAGAATGGGCCGTAACTACATTGTAATCCTTGGTCACGCGACAGTCAAACTAATATTATTTTTTTTATTCTCAGAGCTGGAATTTTGTCACGTTAAGTGCGGTACTGATGCGCTTTTTTCCGTAGTCATTGGTGATTGGGCTGAGACCATAGACTCACTGTACTTGAACACCCAGTTTCAGCATGGGGTGCTACCTAGATTCAAAACTCGTGCCAGCTTCTGATATTCGGAAGCCACTGAAGCTGTGCACTTTCAAATCTAACTTGAAAACTAATTTCTTTCGACCTGCTTTGTGTTTAGTTTGTTGTCCTTCCCCCGCACCTCCTATCAGCACGGTTGGCTACGTATCGTGCAAAAGAAGTTCAACATACACATGTAATTCTGACCTGAGCTACCTGGCTACCTCAACGTTTTAGGATTATAAATTTGTGGAGTAATCAGTTGCTTGTGGCTCCCTGCACATCTGCGCAATGATGTCACCGGCAATGCCACAGCGATGGGTTCTTGCGTCGTGCCGACGTCAAGCCACCTCAGCTCCCACCAAGCGAGGTGGGGGTGGGACACTATTAAGGATGTGCGAGCTGCGAGGGTATCACTACAGTTATGTTGTCCTTCAGCAGAGCTGACCTTGTGAAATTACAAATCATGGACTCATTTTAGGATTAAATTAACTCGTAAAAAACCAACAACCGACGCAACAATAGCAATTGGTTACAAATCACAGCACGTGCATACTATGAATTGATCAGGCAAATACATAATTTTAACCTGCATTTTTTGACTTTAGTTTTAGCGCGTGCAAACGACTCCATTGGAGTCAGTTGCGTGAAGCATGCACGGTGGAACTTCACTGCGGTGCTCCAGCCCAGCGTTTTTACATACTCCGGACCACGCAAGTCCCATGGTTCCACATTTTTGTGAATAGCAATATTTTCTATTCATGTTGCAAAGTTAGTTTCACTGCACATTGCATGCAGCATTGAGAGGAAGCTTTACCGTGGGGGGAGGGGGGGTGCAAGGACTGGAGTTGAGAAACTCTAATTTAGCAAATGAGCTTCTTAACTCCGGCATCCAGGGCCGAAATCCAGGGCCTTTGACGATCACCGTTTTTTCCCCAGTCCAAGTGCCTGCCAGTCTTTCAAAGAGGCATTAGCACCCAATGTGAAAACTAGCTTGGATAGGCCACCGTCAACGCGCTCCGTTCACTACTGCTTCTGCGGTGCCGAGGTGGGGGGTGGGGGGCACTCTCTCGAATCTGACAGTGAGGAAAGGAGCTTGCTGACATGGCCACCTCAAGGTAACCAGGTGGGCACAGGACGAGCTGGGACTGGGAGAACATCCTGGGCACAGGAGTTTGTGGCATCGGAGCTCATGCTGAATTGACAAAACGGTGCCATCCTTCAATGCTGTGCAAGGTGCAGTTTCAGCTCATTCGTGAGTGGTAGAGGTGGTGGTAATTTCAGTGCAGGCGAAAAGCACGACCCAAACAGTGACTGTGCAGCATTTGACTTCAACACTTTCTGCAGGCTGGTTGCCTGGTGTAGGAAACCACATTCTGGCTTTGCCAGCACAAAAGCGACTCCCTCTTACCAACGTGGGAATGGAGTGACCAGTTTCATTCAAAGATCTATTATTTTCAACCTGTTATCGTCTCTCAATTTTCTGGCCTCGTTCATAATGTCTTGTTCACTCCACTGGTGTACATCTAATGTTCAAATTAACTGCAAATCATCCGATTCACAACCGCACACGAGTTGACACGTGTATCGGGAATACACAAATCTATTCTAAATCAAGACATAAATCATTGAATGCCTAAAAAACTACACACTATATTTACAGCTATTGTATGCTGATCGTGCATGATAAGACGATACATATACAGGTTATATATGCATCTTGAAAACACGCTGCATATACACAAACACATCAGCGGAGAAGTCACATTCCATTTACCATCAGATGACTCTTCAAGATGTCTCACTAACCTTTTCGCTGGTTAATCACGATTTTTAAAGAAGCAAAACCATTTACTCATTTAGATACGGCCAAATTGAGTTTTTTTTTTGGGGGGGGGGGGAGGGGGGATTTGAAATGTGACCGCTGACATGCTTCAGACGGTCAGACCGAAAATAAAACTGGAATGACGCAAGCAGCGGCCTGCGATGGAAGCAGGCGCAAGAGGGCCGCAGCAGCAGCGGGGAGGGCGCTTACCACCATCATCTCGCCCTACGCGTGTGCCCGTGGCGCCGTCAGGAGGAGAGCAATAACACAGCCGCTGTTACCGCCTCCGTGCCGACGCAAATAGACAGCGGCGGGGTGTAAAATCGCGACCGCGGCAACAACAACAACAATAATCCTCCGAACGCAATCGCGGCGTGCGTCTTAAAAAGGTGTGCAAACCAAGTGCGGGAAACGCGATAGAACTGACCTCGGAGATAGCTTTTGTATAGCTCTTATGGTTAAGCGTGGAGTCGGGAAAAGTGAGAGAAATCGTTAAAAAAAACGGACACAAAAACGAGGCAAAAAAATATCGACGCAAACCGTTGAGACAAGTTGCGTTCCGTTTAGCGATCACCCGTGAAAGCTGGCATGGCGCACAGGGGGATAAGTGTGGGCAATGTCAAGTCCAAGCTAACGTGTACTCGTGTTTACATTGCACAAAGCACTCATTTTAAAACTGAGTCGACCTAGGTCAGAGTGCAGAATCAGAAAATTTTATTTATCCTGGAGAAATCAGATGAGCAACGAAGCTTTTTTCACAGCTCTCCAGCAGGGGCAGGTCAGAAAGTTACAAACAAACAATGCAAACTATAGGAAAGTTAAGCAGATCACTAAAAAATTAACTAAAACTAAACTTGTATTTTACTTGGTAAAGCCCACTGAGCTATTAAGCTAAGATTACAGCACTCTTCTTTACAATGCATACAGGCTAGAATGATGATAGAGGAGCGAAGTATTCTTATTAGTACGACAAATGGCGGTGCTGTCGGTGCAGGCTTACCGGCGGTCTCATCGGTCGCGTAAACTCGGGTCGCTCCACTTGCGTAACCGGTAACGGTTCAGGGTTGCTCGACGCTTCAACCTGAAGGGCAGCACCTGCAAAGTGGAGCGAGAATGTCATTAAAGACCGCAAAATAATGAACATCACAGAGCTTGCCTTCTTTCTTACAACGTTTTGTCAATCCTACTGCTGGACTCCATCTCTCAGAGGGGTTGGTGAAGGGTCAGTTCGGATGCAAATGGTCACCGACGTCATAAGCGTCATTGACCACTGCGGCACCACTCCACAGAGCTGGCATCATCCTCAATAATAACAAGAACATATTTGCGTTGTTTACCCAGAATATGCTCGACAAGCACCTGTTGCAAAAACCACATTGATCAGTGGAGGCAAGCGAGGTCAAAATAACCTCCATGACCAACGTGGTGTGGGAAGGCCATCATCACCCAACAGCAGATTAAGGAGGACTGCAAATTAAAGAATCCATTGAGACAAAACGTCTCCTTCAAGGGCAACTCCGAGGACCCAGCTGCACAGCATGAATCAGATGCGTGTGTGGATTCATTAATCAGCTGTCACACACAGCCAGGGAAGATTGGTGCCAGGAGGTGAGTATGAGGTTGGGGGAGGGGTGGTAGTCGTTGGGGCAATGACCTCTGCTCTGGTTGCGCTCACGAGACCCGGGCTGCGAGCCGGGCTGAGACCCGGGCTGCGACCCCGGTCGGGATCCCGGCGTGCTGGATCCGGAGTGCGATCCGGATCCGGAGCTGGACGAGCCACCGCTGCTGAACTTGCGCGGCGGCTGCTGGTGCTGCACGATCCCTGCCGCTCTCGCCTCCAAGGCACTGCCGGCACTGAAACGAAAGAGCCGGCGGGAATTGAAATTAAAACGCGCAGGAGGCGCAGTTCTAAGCACACGCGTAACAGATTCGCACACGCGCAGTGGCATAGCATAGTTGGCACACATACGTACGTGTGCGCGTGGCTTAGATGGGTGCAGTAATGATTAACTTGGAAACAGAGGTGATCAAGTTCGGAGAGGTCTTTGGTAGGTATACAATCATTTGCCTCCCAGCAATTGAATGAACCATTACAATTCTATGGAATAAATTTGTATTTACAAACTGTGAATGAAGTACATCGAGTGGCTGCAGAGGTCACGTGAAACCATTATATACCAACTAAAAAATCGATTCCCAAGAGACACGATTCGATGCAGTATGAACAGGTAAACCAGAGTCAATTGGCAAGTTAGCGTGATGTGGAGTAAAGTGTGCGCTACACCACCTCTTCCAAAATGTCTGTCCAGCCTGAAACAATTGGCCAAAAATGCTCTAGAGCTACAGAGCTCCCTTCTAAGCCCTTTTGCCAGCCATGGCACCGTGATGGCAAGATGTTAACCACCTCGCCTGGTATAGACGAGGTCTTGCATTCGCTCCTGACCCTGCTGCATAGCCATCTAGAGGTTACGTGTTGTCCCTGTGGTCGTGTGGCTTTTTCTCCAGGTCCTCCGGTTTTCCGCTCCACATTTAGAAATATGCGTTGGGAGTATTTGGCCGCTATAAATGTCCACGTAAGTCACTTTGTTCGGCTATCATTTGTGGCCAGGTTGCTTCTGAAAAAGAGCTATGCAGCATAGTGGGCCTTACCTGGTACGATAGTTTTAGTTTAAGTGCAGGGCTGCAAGTTTACCCTTTACCTATTTAGCCCTCAGTAAAGTAAAAGTTCTGCTCTCCTGATGTACACAAAACACACGGATGTGTACATTCTGGACTCTCCTGCTCACAAGACAAATCCTCATCCCCTCCGTGTGTTGCCGGCCTGGTGGCAAGCATGGCGGCCACACCTGGCCTGGCGAGCGTGGCGCGGCGTAAGCCCCGGGAGGTGGCTGGGCGAGTTTCTGCGGCCCAGCTTGGGCGAGACGAGTCCGGCTCGCACCGGCACCTGTTGAGGGTCGTGTTGAAAGCCAGAAGCACGAGACGCAGGCACAAGAGACACAAGGGCCAAACGATCAAACAAAGAAAAAAAATATAACACAAACGCGTCCTCGAATTAATGCGGGTACGTGAAGGGCCCCCAGAAGTCAATGTCGCAAACTACGTTTGGTGGTCAATCCAGCAGGCCTCTTATTCACACCAATTCTCAGAATTGGAATATAGTCAATTAAAAGGAATCAATCGAAATTTGCGCAAAAGTAGTTTTTTGTGTGTGCAGTTACTGGTGACCAGACCGCGGCAATCAACTTGCTACAGTTGAGAAGCCAGTGTGAAATAATGGTTGCCAAAACTCAAGGATTAATCTCAGCGGCGCTGGGCACGCGGTGCCTCGGGACCTCGAGAGCCAGCTCTCGGGATGTCCCCCGCCGCCTTTTCAAAACCACAACGTCGACCTCACCTTGGCCGTCAGATCCTCCCACTCGGTTCTGCTCCGTGCCAGCAACTGTTCCGGGCCTCCGGGGCCCACGGGAGCGGCGGGATGCCGGGGGCTGGCCACGGCGGGGGCGGCGCCGTTGCCGAGTGAGGCCACGGGGGGAGCGCTCGGGGCGGCCGCGGCGGCCGGCAGCAGGTCCTGCTCAGGCACCGACTGCGAGCGTGCCATGGGGCCAGAGCCCTGCTGCCGCAGCGGCACGCGGTGCGCGACCTGCACCTGCTGGTGCTGCGTGCGCACATCGGCAAGCCCAGTCACACGCGTGTGCGCAATATTAATTCATTCGTTTGCTTTTGTATGTAGAACTTCTATTTCACCGTACGTAGCCAACCATGGGAATCGGAGGTGCAGGGGTAGGACAACTACAACACAAAAAACATTTTTTTTTTTTACCAAACCACCGACCTAGAATGTGCCTGATCCTGTCAAATCTCAGACGTTTAGCTAGGTTGAGCCTTCATATTTTGAGTAGCTTCCAAATATATATTATATATACTGCTTTATGTTGGTTGAAATGTAATACTGTAGCACTATTGATACATTTCCAAGGTAACGTGGCAATGCAAACCTTAACATCATCATGTGGATTACTACCAGTCGTATAACGAAATAATACGTTTTTACACATTTAAAAACTCTAACTGAATAAAACCAAGGTGAATAACAATAAAGTGTCTGGCTTTGGGCATGGGTGGTGGCAAAACAGGAAGGCCCACTGAGCGATAAAGCCCTTTCTCAGAAGGGACCCGGCCACAAATGCGTTCACACGGCCCTGTCCGCCGCCACCTGTGCGGCAACCTTGGGGCAACCCCCAGCGGCAGACTTGCCTGCGACTCGGGGCCCCCCCTGTGGAAGGCGGACGGCGCCGCTGGTCCCTGCGGTGCCGCCACGGCGAACACGTCCGGCTGTGACGCTCGCTGTCCCCCGGCGGCGGCCGCCGCCACGGGCATCTTGCGGTTCTGCTTCGAGCGATCCTCCACCTGCGGAGCAGCGCACGCGCCCGTCAGCTTCGCCCGAGCGGCACGTGTATCGTAGCCGCAAGGCCCGGTGCACTGCCGCAGTAACAGCGGCTACTGGTTTCGCAATGCTTTTAAGTTGGGACTCGATAACTCGGCATGTAATGGATTCAACCCCAAGGAGATTCGAGAATTGTCACAATTCGGGGGTTACGATTAAATTCTCCCCTTTGTTCTGCCTAGTGTTGTATTGTCCATCTCAAATGTTGTCCCATACGTTTGTGTGCTTGTATTGATATATTTTTTACTTAGCTGTGGCTAAAACCCTGTCTGCAGCTCGCTCTGAGATGCAGAGAAAACAGCGATCCTCAGAGGTTTTGGGCAGGGGAAGTGCGGTGGCAGGGGGTGGCAGAGAGAGCCTTGGTGCTGGCATTATGTGCACTCGTGTCTTCCCTCATTATTCACCAGCTGGCTGTCCGCGATTTTGGCTATCCGCAATTTTGTCTTTCTGCGAATCGCATCTGGGACTCGACGCGACTGCATCGCGAGAGCAAGTGATGACAGAGAATTTCTCGAATCTTTAGAAGCATCTGCAGACGTTGCACACATGATATTTGTAGGCCATTGTCATTTTCCGCGGAAATTTTCTATTCACGAGCATCTCCAGAACGCATCTCTCGCGAATAACGAGGGAATAACTGCATCTGCAGCACAGTCCACGACCTCAACGGGAATTGCTGCGATTAGTTAAGATGAACTAAATGCTAATTGTTAAGAGGAGCTAAGCGACCCGTTGGTGGCAGCATGGACAATTCGATTCTCTTGTTTGTTCTCCCTTTGTTGGTATTGTCCCTGTCAAATGTTTTGTTCAGTGTGTTTGTACTGCTAGACTGCTAGGCAAGCAAGGTGTTGTTTGTATTGCTCATCTCATACGTTTGTCTTGTGTGTAATTGGAGTGTTCGTCTTGTTTGTCATTTCTCATTGGTAATGGAGGTGTTACTCGTTTGTTTTTAATCATTCTGTCCGTCTCATTGGCAATATCTCTCATGAGAGTAGTTTGCTCCGTCTCGTTCATTCCATTCACTCAAACGTAACGTATTCATGTAACATGCAAAACCCACAAGAGACCAATTCTGAAGAGTATGCACTGTGAGTACAAATTCGACTTGAATCACTGGATCGTTAAATATGCCGATCGGTGGCCTCCTCCACCTACGAAGCGTTTCTCATTATCAAATGTACAAATTTTGGATCGTATCTTACAACATGATGGTCAGTGTTTGACCATACTTCACCATGCAGTTCAGTGTGGGTTGGTTAAAGAAAGCACATTTTATAGAGCATACCAATGTGTCGAATGAAGAAAGTTAATTGGTACGTACTGCCGGCTATGTCGTACGGGTCAAGACGCATAGACCCTGATACATTAAATGGAACGAAAGTTGAAAAGCACTAAAGAATTCACAGAAAGGTGAGTGCTTAGCAATGCACTGAGAGAGAGAGAGCTTAAATAACACGAACAACGCACTAAATCGGAGACACCACACGGACAGTTTGGTCAATGGGATCTTGGGGGGCAGGAGGGGTCACCAGACGGGACCCCGATGTCTGAAGAACGAGACTGGTGACGGCATAGAAGCCCAAGGAGCGGTCGCACAGGAGGACGACCGCCACCACAGGGGAGCGACGAGACGAGTTCACGTGCCAGGAGAGACGGTGAGGGAGCCACGGTGGCTAGGAGATGTTAACTACCTCGCCTGGTGTACAGGAGGTCATGGGTTCGATCCCAACCCTGACGATGGCTTTTGTATATTCGGAGTTTGCGGTGTCTCTCTCCCCGTGTGTTTAGAGTATTTGCCTGCTATAAATGTACACGTGATAAGCCAATTCGTTGAGCTGTCATTTGCGATAGCCAGGTGGCTTCTGAAAAACAGCTACATTGCAGAGTGGGGCCATATCTGGTAAAATAAAACGTTTAGTTTTGATAGTTAGCGGCTGTAAGAGGTGGCATGGGCAGAGGGCCTTCAAAGTTGCAGCGCATAAACGATAGCCGACGAAATACAACTTTAATTGTAAATCTTGTTAAATGCCAAATAATGAGTTACATCATCACACACAATAAAATGAGTATTGCATGCTGTATTATTTCCCTAATACGCGTAATACAAAACGTATATATGTGGTGTGCATATGTACAGAAACCCACCACAGAAGACTAGAGACATAAGTAGATTTTAAGAACCTGTTGTTACTAACATGCTGTTTAAAGGAAGACATCACTGAAAACAAACAAACAGCTCTTGACAGTGTGAGTTTCTACCTAGGCTGCGTGTCCTGGGCTGACAAGCGCTCGAAGCTTCATTAGTTACAGTCAAGCGTGCCGTCACGACACTCTGACATCAATGGAACTTTATAAAAACACTTCTTCGATGCAGTGACATGACAAGGCTATTGTTGAAGTCTTTATTCTCAGTAGAGGAAGCGTAAAAACCTCGTGTCGGACAGCCTGGGACACATGCAGGCCAGCTACGCATTTGTAAGAGCCGTTTGTCTTTCGGTTGCATCTTCCTTTCAAAATCTACAGACTAAACCTACGAGCCATTCCCACCAAGACTGCAGTGCATCTCAACTCCAGCCCTCGCGATACTGAAGTAGAGATATCCTGCTCGACCGCACAGAACGCTCGTAAACCGTGACACTAGGGTAGGTTTATGGCAATCGTCGCTGAGAAGCACCGCCATACCATTTCCTATTGCGAAAAATAAAAAGAAGTTGCTGAAAACCTGAACAAATCTAACTCATGCCTCCCCCCAAATGGTCAGCTAGGATGATTACTTCCAATAAAACAGCAGAGGTCACATGACTACCTAAAGTTGTGTGCTCTGCAGATCAGGCACTACTGAAAACTATTTCGCAACAAATTGGGTTTTCAGTGGCGAGCGAGAACTTCTGTCACGAATTGGCATTCAGTTTAACACGAAGGTTTTCGAGACGAAGAGCATCCATAATATAGAATTTTCGGGTTCGATCGCGTAAATAATTGTCATTGCTGTACCCAGGTTGCCTAAGCTGATCTCTATGAATGCATTGGCAGTGGTGAAGAATGCAACTGCCGTAAAACTGCCCCAGTGCATCACGGGCCTTAACACACACACACAAGCAAGTATACCGTTGCGCATGCTTTAACGCGGACACACGCACAGACACACGGTGCAGACAAATTGCACGTGCGCGTCAATCGAGCCCTCCGGCGTGCATGGGGGGGGGGGGGGGGGGAGTGGGGGGGCTGTTGTATGTGACCGTTAAAGCTGCAGCAGTGCGCGTGAGGCCGTCCGTTAAGGGCGTCATGTGACTGTTGTGGCCATTAGTGCATGCCGGACAGTTAAGGGGGTTAAAGATCTGAGTGCTGCGCGTTTGCCCGTCCTTTGTTTCGGTGATACCTGACTTGGCCTTGCCTGCGGCGGCACGTCTGGACTCTGAGCGGAAACACAAATGACGACAGAGGGGCGACGGTTTAAGCAGGGGGGGTGGCGGGGAAAGGGCACGGCGGGGGGCGGGGGGGAGACGGGCACAGAAACTAGCCCACGGGTGGCGTTAAGGGCTGAGGTTTCCAAACTAGCCGTGTCGCAACTCATCGATTCTTACGCTCGCGACGCACGAATCGCAATGTGAGAATCGATTAATTATGACATGCCAATTTTGCTCGGTTGTACTTGGGTTAATAGAGCAGACAACATAGTACCAATCGGACGTAAACAAAAAATAATTATTGAACCGAATTGTGACGCGGAAACAGGATAATTCATTCAAAATCTCTGGGGGGGGGGGGGGAAGGGCAGAAGTGAAATGTGACATGCACAGTGTAACCGCGCGTGCGCTCTGCCGACCTGCTTGGCCCATGCCGGCTTGTCAGGGCAGCTCTTCCCCTCCAGGTAGTGGTACTGCACCGCCGCCGCCGCCGCCTGCTGCCTCTGCCTGTCGGGCCCGGGGGCAGCGGCAACGCGCTGCTGCTGCTGCTGCTGCTGCTCTGCTTGCTGCTGCTTCTGCAGGGACAGTAGATAGCGCTGTTCCTGTTTGAGTTGCTGCTGCAGCAACTGGGCCTGGCGCTCCTCCTGCTCAAGCTCGGGGGGCTCGTCCGTCTGCTTGCGCTTGTGCTCCCGCTGCCGGTGCAGCCAAGACAAACACAGAGGGGGCGGGGGACAAACAGCCCTCGGCGCCGTTACTCGGTGGAAGCGGCCGGCGTAAGGCTCGCCGTTGGAAAGCGCAAGCGAGCGGCGATTGCTATCGGGGGCAAGAAGTGGCTCACAGCTGCCACCTCTCAAAAACAAACCGCAGGGTTGGTGCCCTGGTGAACAGGTCGCGTGGCCGGTGACAAGATTTCAGTTGCCTCCTGTCTGTCCAGCCATCGTCACTTCTGCACGAAAGGGAGGTTTTGTACCTCGGTAAGAAACGTTTTGGGAGTCGTTGCCAGTATCCACAGATGTCTTCTTAACTGTTACATTAGAACGATCCTGCAGGATCAGAATGGAGAGAAATCTTGTGGGGAGTGCCCGCACTAAGTCCCTGCACCAAGTACCCGCGGCCTGACACCTGACTCGCCCCGCCCACTACCCACAATCCCTCAATACTTTCTAGCACAGCCAGATCACAATGGTAATGCAAGTTCTCAACAGAACCAGACCTCTCTATGAAGCACGAAATATTTAAGTGGAGAGAGGGAGGGAGGTGAAAAAGGGGGACTGGTACCTGGGAACAGGCCTGAAAGGAGAAGTAACTCGACACAGACAACCGCCTGGTGCGATTGCAAGAAGCAGAGAAGCACAAAAACACCTTGGCACAACGAGCACGGTGGTGTCACGTCAGACGAGTGCGGCAGAAAGACCCCGGCTATACAACAACCAGACGTGCGCATGCTCGAGGGCGTAAGCATTGAGGCGCCCTGTTCATGCGGTTGATCCAGCTGGATGGCTCGGCCCATTTGCTCGTGATCCGACTAAGGAATGACTCCAGGAGGGGAAGTGAGGAGTACTGGAGAGGGACCTGTCCCTTTAGTGGTGAAGGTCGCTCTATGGAACCACCAGTGGCTCCCGCTCTGGGAACGCGAGCCAGGGGTAGAATGTCCCGGGGGAAGCTCCCAGCGTCTTGCTCGGACTTCTCCCGAGGACACCTCCGAGCCCAGGGGACGAATCAAGACGACGAACCCCAAGGTTGTGCCCTGCATCTCTTGCGACCCGGGCACGCAAACCTGGTGCAGCTCCTACTGTACACAGCCCGGTCCATCAACGCGCGTAGCTGCGCCCCGCCGAACCATATCCAATGGCCACGGGTCACCACGCTCGTCACGGACGACGAACCCTCGGAAGGTGGAAACTTCAAGTAGCGCGGGCGCTTGGCCGTTCCCGTTGGGAGACTTCTTCTGCGCTTGCGAGCGCCGTGATGGACAAGGCGGACCCGGGAAGGTCACTTCGGGAGGCGCGCACGTGGAGGAGTGGATGGCACGGCCCGAAGGGCACCGGCGTCCCTTGGGGGAGCGTCAGCACGGTTGCGGGAGGAGATCGGCTGGTGAGGTGGGAAGGCCCCGTCATCATCGCTGCGAGGAGCTCGCAAACTGCACGGTGCTCCGGTGACAGACTGCATGCGCCCGAACGCACGCCCGTTGGTGTTTGGGTGGTGGCTGGGCGAGCAACAGCAGGCGCTCTTCTGGTACGGGCCGGCCCGTGTGGGCGCATCTCTGACTGCGGCCGGGCGAGGCTGGCGTTACCAACATTCAAAACTGCGGGCCGCACGACGAGAGGATACATCCGCTCCGAGTTCCGCGTGCTTACAAGCAGACGGAGCGGCAGTGTCCTTTCGCTGCTGCTACGACTGCAGCCACAACCCCGCCGGCCACAAGTTCGCGGACTGGCAGACGTTGCCTGCCGTACTGCAGGAGGGCGCCAGGACCCGGGTCTTGCGCTTTCAATGGGCTCTTCCAAGACGGGCCGTGTCTTGCCGCCGGTCACTTCTGCGCCTCTAACGATGGCGGAAGCAGAAGCGGCTTCGCATCGTTGCCAGGTGAACGTAGTCTGGTTCACCTCTCGCTCCGTGAAACACGGCGGAGGCAATGAGGACAAGCGTCCATTTCGTGGCCGGTCCCCAGGCAGTTACGGCAGTGAATGGGTGTCCCACCCCTGCAGGTCAGTGCCACAAGAGCAGCGGCGCCTGCGTGCACGCTTGGGCCCCATCGCCGCTGTTATTTATTTAGTAAAGGATGCCGCATGTTCATGGTGCTGGTTGACGTTGCGTTCAAGTGGAGTGCATTGTGAACACCACCCGATAAGAAAGGCGTTGCCATTTTTTAAATGAGGTTAAATGTGTATTTTATAATCTCGTTATATATTTTGAAGTGTACACATTTACTCTCGTGCATCCTGAATGGTTATGATGTAATTCCACGTTTGCTTGTCAGTAAAGTTGATTAAGAAGAAAAATAAAAAAATGGCCATGAAAGAGAGGGAAAGGAGAGATCAAGGTTACCATACAACTCCAGATGAATGTTTGTCAACAACATTCTCCAACTTTTTCCAAGTTTATAAATTTAATTTGCCCGAGCTGCGATGGTGGCTCAAGCCTCTGCTGCACCACGCTCGATGCGGAGATGACCGCCGAGGGATTGTGGGTAGTGGGCGGGGTGAAGTTAGGCGGCTGGCGCAGACATTTAGTGCCCACTCCCTAAAGACTTCTCTCCATCACACGTTCGTGTAACTTTCTGACCTGCCCCTACTAGACATCTGTGAAAAAGAGCTCCATAGTTCATCGTATTCCTCTGGTATACATAAAAGAGTAGGATTCTTTTTCGAATTCTGACTCTGCTTGATAAACGCTAACGTAGCGGTTAAGAGGACATCCGTGGATGCTGGCAACGACGACCAAAAACAAAGATGGGTCCCCATGCTCTTTTTCTTATTGACATTTCCACCCCCTGCGATGATTTATGCTCACACACCAAGAGGACGGTGGTGGGGGGGAAATGCCAATATCACAAAGATGCGCCCCAAGGCTGGGTTTGTAAGGGCATGAGATGCGCAAGTTAATATCAGACGTTTATAATTGTGAATAAAAGAAAACCATACAAACGAGCTAATGGGCAGGCGAGGTGTGGAGAAGAATGGAAAGTTAATTGGAGTTACATGGAAAAAAGGAGCAACGTATATGCTTTAAAAATGCCAATAAAATATTTTTTTTTACGATTCAGAGCTTGCCAATTGCAAATGGTCACAAAAAAGGAGAAAATATAGGAGCCTTCTGAACAGCACTTGGGTATTGTGATGCTGCCATAAACATAATTTTGCACACAGCACTTGGCCATTTCAACAAAAAATATTTTATGGACTTTTTGTTTGCGGAAGTCAGGAAGAAATTGAAGGAAAGCAGTGAAGTGGTAGGTAGGAGGCGCTGGATAGATCCGACCACCGTTACCAAAAGCAAAGCCTGTTCCTGGAGCAGCTGCTGCTGTAGCATCTCTAACTGCCTGTGCTCCTCCTCTAACTGCTGTCGGATGTGATCCTGAGGGTCGACACAGAGGCGATCACAGCAGCGACACACGGTCAACGGCTCACTCACTCGCCGACTCACTCGATTCAACGCTACAGGCCTCACAGCCCACCTGAGATCACTTTACTTTACACACGTTTTCATTTTTTTTTATACCGAGGATGACCGAAGTGGCGTGGTGGCTCTGCGGTGGCGAGGAGATGTTAATTGCCTCTCCTGGTATGCAGGAGGTCGTGGGTTTGATCCCGACCCTGAAGCCTGGAAATTTGGAGTTTGCGTGTCTCTCACCCCGTAGTCACTGGATTTGTCTCCGGGTCCTCCGGTTTTTCCCTCCACATTTAGAAACATGCATTTAGAGTATTTGGCTGCTATAAATTTCCACGTGATAAGCCACTTTGTGTTGAGCTATCATTTGTGATAGCCAGGTCACTTCTGAAAAAGAGCTATAAAAGCTCAGGGGACCTCACCTGGTAAAATAAAACATTGATTTACTTTTTACTTTTAAATAGTTACAATGCTGCTCGGTTTAATATCATCATTATTCGTAGGCCATGTTCAAGACAAGTATACACACAAACCCACCCACATTCACAAATACCAAAGATCCTCTGGGAAACGACAAACAAGGGAGCCTTCCGAGGTGGCTCGCCCGTCGAGACTCGCGCACATGGCCAAGGGGCGGGCACCTGCTGCTCGCGCTCCGCCTGCCGCCGCCGCTCCTCCTCCGCATCCGCGCGCAACCGCTGCTGCTGCTGCTGCTCCTGCTGCTGCTGCTGCTGGCCGTGTTCCAAACCCGGTTCCGGGTTCCGTCTCCGCAGCTCCTTCTCCTGCAGCCGGGACTGCTCGCGTGACCGCTTCTGCTTCTGCGAGGGACACGGCGACGGCGGCAGCGGCGTGATCAGCGGAGCGGTCAAGCTGGGGCACATTGCCGAGGTAATTTAAAAACTCAGCCGATGCTAGGACCCCGTCTCCATCACGGAGCAGTGGTTGGCATTGGCTTTGTATATGGCGAGCTGCTGATCAGATCCACGCTCCCCACACGCACGCTTTCGAGTGGGAGGGTCTTCCTTGTTGAACTTTTTTTTTTATCTTGGTCATTACCGATATCTTACCAAGCAATTCTACTCTGGAGGACAGAGTCTTAAACAGTAGACGAGGCCTACTAATAGAGGCAGATCCTGCACCTCGACTAGTTTGCCTACCGAGTTGACTGCCTCCGACCTGGCCAAACGTACGTGAACCAGTGGGGGTCAGGGGTCATGGATTGTATTTTTTTGTAAACACAGACATCCTGAACTATCACTAGATAAAAACATGACCTGGATTCCAATATTGACATCTTAATCACTGTCGCACACCTCGAGGCGAGATACAATGTAACAATTTCCTTTTTCCACTTTTATTTTACCAGGTATGGTCCACTGAGCTATACAGCTCTTTTTCAGAAGCGACCTGGCCACAAATGAAACCTGAAAATAGTGGCTTATTATGATGGAATTTAAAGCAGGCAAATTATCTAAACGTGTGACATCGATTCTAAATGGAGGGAAAAACCGGTGGAACCAGAGAAAAATCCACGCGACTACGGGGAGAAGAGACACGTAAACTCCAAACATACAGCAGGCGTCAGGGTCGGGATCGAACCCACGACCTCCTCCTGAATACCCACGCGAGGAGAGTCAACATCTTCGAGCCACCACGACCTCACCTCCTCCATCTGCCGCCGCTGCTGCCGCTGGTACTCGATGCGCTTCTGGCGCTCGGCCAGCAGGTGCTGCTTGCGGCCGTCGTTCTCGCTTTGCTGCTGCCGCGCCAGCATCTCCAGCTGCCGGCGCTGCACCTCGGCTGCCTCTCGCCCGTCGCCGCGCTGCTGCAGGCGCAGGAAGTCGCGCCGCAGCGTCGACTCGCCGGCGACGTTCACGATCGAGCTGGCACAACGCGCGCAATGACAAGTTAACGAGCACACGTTCACTAAACACATTTCTGCTGTGCAGATCTTTTTCAGAGGAGACCTGGCAATCACAAATGATAGCTCAACGAAGTGGCTAATTACGTGGACATTTATAGCAGCCAAATACTCGAAACCCACGATTCTAAATGTGGAGGGAAAAAACGGAAGATTCGGAGAAAAATCAACGTGACCACGGGGAGAGAGACACGCAAACTCCGAATATCCAGCAGCAGGCGTCGCGGACCACTCACCTCGGCTCTCCTTCCTGATTCTGCGCCTCCTCGTCCTCCTCCTCGCTCCCACTGTACTCGTACTCCGTCTCGTCTGTCGAGACACCACGACAACAAAAAAGCAGAGACGTGCACTCAATTATTGTTTTGGTCATGCCAGTCTGGAGTTGAAGTTTCATGGCTGAGAACACAAAACATTCACGACAACAATTTTGTGGTATACAGCGGCACGTGTTTTTATAAACACAAGGGTAAAGGGTATAAGTCTTCATCAACCTAAATGTGTAATATTTGACCTATCGGTGTTACGCATCAAGGAGCATATACCAAAACGTGTACTCCGGTCATCCTCATTTGGCTGGCCATCGAACAAAGACTGTCACTGCATTGCGCACTTTCGGATGCGCTTCTGTGACTGTCTGGAACGCTCTTCCATCCAATATTAGGAAGCCACTACTAGACCTATGCACTTTTACATCACCTAGATTGAAAACTAATTTCTTTCGAACTGCTTTGTGTTTAGTTTGTTGTCCTTCCCTCGCATCTCCGATTAGCATGCATGGTTGGCTACGTATGGTGCGAAATACGTTCAACGTACAAAAGTACGATTTAAAGCTTTCGTGACTGCAGGGATTCATCTTCTTGTTTCTTTCGGTAAAGTCACGTAGAAATTTTGACGTTTCGGCTACAACGCAAGCAGCCGTCTTCAGGTGAAGAATGAGACACTACCAAACTAGGAGCTTATATATAAGCTGCATTGGGGGTTGAAGAGCGCCTTAACAAAAAGAATGTGCATGTGAAGAGGAATTTAGCATATTCATGGAAAATGCGTAGGCGTTGGGCGGGGGGGTGTCAAAGTCATATTATGCCCATGCATTATGCAGGATCAGCAGCAACCAAGGGGGGTGCAGGGATTAGCAGTAACAAAGGGAAGGAATGTTAATGATATGTAGCTGCAGTTACTCAACAACCACGTAGAAAACTAAAGTATAAACTACATAAAAAACTAAAGTATAAACTGCATCGCACCATCAGTATACTTACTATACTCTATAATAAGCTGAGTTACTAACAGCAAGTAATACATTACCATTCTACCTCGTAAAAATTCTATAATATGCTTCCATCTAGACCTTATTCTCTTACATCACACGAGCATATACCGTACTATATACTGCCATAGATAAACCCAACATTAAATTATATACTGTATTGCTGTAAACCAACCTATATCTTATACATTTAATATAACACTATGTATTATTCTACACACCCTAATGTGTGTCGAAATGGTTTATTACGTCCTTCCAATGATTGCTGAGCCAGAATCCATCTTCTCGGTTAAAATTGTCTCTGTGTTTGTATATGTGGATCGCCTCATGAACGAATCTCTCATGATAGCCAGATGGCTTGCAGAGAACCTCTGTCTTGGAGAAGTCAATATCATGTGAGCCCACTGAGTTGTAACAGTGATCTGCCACGGCTGAGGTGTTTGTCCTACCGTGTTTCAGGTCAGCTTTATGTTCACGGATGCGGTCCGAGACATGTCGTTTGGTTTCCCCAATGTAACTGCTACCACAGAGGCAACTTAGTTTGTAGACGCCAGGGTACTGTATGTCTGGAACCACATCTTTTACAGACGGTACCAGATCACGGATTTTATGTACTGTGTTGAATCGGACCTGGATCTTGTGTTTAATCAGGATTTTGGAGATCTTTTTTGTGACCCCAGCAATGTAGGGTAAGGTGATGGTCTTGAAAGGCTCCTCAACAGGATCCTTCTTGATGGTTGGAGTGATGGCTTTGCGGATTGTATAGTCGGAGTAACCATTTGCCTTAAGAGCTTGGCGTACGTGTTTGAGTTCACTGGAAATGTGTTCATGGTCGGAGATGCATTGGGCTCTATGATATAGAGTCTTGATGAGGGAATTCTTCTGGGATGGATGGTGGTGGGAATCCGGTTTTAGATAAGCATCCGTGTGGGTGGCTTTCCTGTAGACAGAGTGGCTCATTGAACCATCAGGTCTCCTTTTGATTAGGACATCCAAAAAAGGGTAGCTTGCCATCATTTTCGACTTCCATGGTGAATCTGATGGCTGGGTGTATGGAATTGATGTGGTCGAGAAATTGGTCTAGAGCAGGCCGGCCATGTGGCCAGATGACAAAAGTGTCGTCTACGTACCTCTTCCATAAGGTCGGGCGTGACTTTACCGAAAGAAACAAGAAGGTACAAAAGTACATATGCTATACGATAAAGAATCCATTCGTATCTCCCGCAGAGCAGTGCCAATCCTTCGTGTGAGAGAACAACCCACGGAAGCGGATGCCAGTTTCCTAAGAGACCTCATCAAGCGACCTCTGGTCTACACAATAGGGGGCAGCACTTTCCCGTCCATTCCACCAAATGACAATAATGTTCGTCACTTTATAGCTAAACCCACATTTAATTTTTGGAGCTGGAATTTATCCAAAACGCACCCAAATTATTCGAGCTGGAATTCATCCAAATCAACTGGTGGTTTATTTGTGAAGTTAGCGGTGGCCGGGCTGAGATCATCTACACAGAGTATCCGGTTCAATCACAGGCGGCTGCTGCCTGTATTAAAATACAGGATCTCAACCCCCAGGATTCCAGCTCGGCGCTTTGACCTCCGAGCTACCAGTCGCGTGCATCTGCGCGTGTTGCTTTGTGCGACTGGCTCACGCCGCCGTGGGACGCACCTTTCTCCCCGCGCTTCTTGCGCGTGCGGTCGATGTGGTCCTTGAGCTGGATGCGGACCTGCCGCTCGTTGGGCTGCTCGCGGATGAAGGGGTGCTTTAGCAGCTGCTCGGTTGGCAGGCGCTGCAGGTAGTTCTTCACCAGGCAGCTCTCCGCAAAACTCAAGAAGCGCTTGGACCTGCGCGAGTCGGGGCGGAGCCCAGGTTCAGCACGAAGGACCGAGGCAGAGAAGCAACCCGAGCCAACCCAAGTTAGCTCGACAAGAACCCGAGCTAAGCCAACCAATGGCCTCAACCACCAACTGGACCAGACCCAACTCCAGACAATGAATGCAACACACTGCAAGGTGCAATTCAACCAGCCCAGCTCAACCAATAGCTTTAACATGCCGGCACAAACAGAGCAGCTCCACCAAAAGCTACAAAAAAAACAACCCAACTGGTCAAGAAACCACCCCAGCTAAATCAACTCCACCCAACCATCAGTGTCAAACCAACGTAACCTGACGAGGGGGCCACGGTAGCGAGGTGTTAACTACCTCGCCTAGTATGCAAAAGCTCGTGGGTTCAATCCAGACCCCTGACGCCTGTACATTTGGAGATTGAATGCTCTTCCGGTGGCCGCGTAGATTTTTCATGAGGTTCTCTGGGTTTTCCCTCCACATTTAGAAACATTCGTTTAGAACCTTTGGCTGCTATAAATTTCAACATAAGGCACTTCATTGGGTTATCGCTTGTTATAGCCAGGTCGCTTCTGAAAAATAGCTATATAGCTCAGTGGGCCTTGCCTGGTAAAATAAAAAAATGTATTTAATCGTTTATAGTAAAAACATTATTTTTTCTAGTTTTATAGACAAATGAAACCACCCCCCATAAAATGTCCTTAGAATTGTGAAGGGAGAACAATCGATTCCTGGCTGACGAGACATTCCGCACATTAAGGAAGCATTCGGCCGCTTTGCAATTGTCAATATTTTCTCCATCAGCGGCAGCATCGGCAGCACTCACCACTTCTTGGATTTGAGCCTGGGCGGCGGGTTCCGTGGGATCAGGAAGAGAGCCCTCATTGGGTGCATGTCGCACAAGGCTGCAGCACACAACGCACGGCGCGCACACCGATGAACCATGAGAGGCGCGCTCACCTCGCACCATTGCTGTGTGGGAGTAGGTCAGGGTGTGTGTGCAATTTTATTGAGAGACTGTGCATTGTCTTGGTGTTGTCTGGGACTGTTGTTGTTGTTTTGCTGCCTTGCTCAATCTTGCAGTTAGTACTGAAAAATCGGCAGTAATGAATGTACTTGTGTAATTTTGTACTTAGATAATTTAGCGACTGGATTACCTTCTCTATTTTGCACCATCATTTTTTGTATTGTGGACATCTGTGAAAAAGAGTTTCACAGCTCATCGGATTCCTCCAGGACAAATACAAATTCTCATTATGATGTGTGTCAAGATCTGCCTCTGTGGAGGAGGAGGCTCGTGAAGGACGCTACTGGGCAGTTTGAGGCTGTCATCCTCCAGAGGAGTGACGCTCACAACAACAAGCCGAGCGCCACTCAGCTAAAATAGACCAAGTTGGCACAATAGGAGGCACAGGTAGTGGTACATCTGCCAGTCATTTCAGTCAGGAAACCCACGGCACCTGGTTCGGTCCCGTCACCTCCTGCCAGCAAGTCTTAAAAACTTAATGTAGCCTCAAAGTGCACCTAGCCTGGCACAAACGCCATGGGGACGTTCCCGCCAATTAGTGGTGAATGGTGGCCGTTGTTGTTGGACGTGTGTGGGTCTTTTTACTGGTTGTCTGGGTGTGTCTGTGGGTGCAGTGTCAGTTTTAGTAATTGCTCGCTTGCCCCACGGTTCAGAAGGATAAACGTGGGAATCTTTGTGCGTTATGCAAGCCGTATCATATCCTCTTATTTTCAAGAGCAGACCACACTGTGCCTATTCTGGCCCTGTGTAGAGATTTATTCACGGTCAATAAGGATGTGCCTTCCAGAACGCTTGAAGATTTCTGCTGTGCATTACTCCACTCTATAAAACATGCACGCATAAGCGGTGTGTGGTGTATTTAACAGCTCGCCTGGCGCTGGAAACAATGACACGACACACATGGCTGATATTATCGGATTAGAGACGTCATTGTAACGAGGCCGAAAAAAATACGTCGTCGGTCAAACAGCTGGGCCCTTCCTGCAGTTGACCCTGGACACAGGTCCCACGACGTCAACCCAGGTCGGCCGGTTACTTCAAGTCCGTTGGACAACATCACACGTAGCCAGGTGGCTCAAATTCATTCCAGCCACGTGAAGGTTTTTTTTCTTTCTCTCGAATTACTGTTTTCTAACATAACCCAAAGCGCAACTCTACTCGAAAAGCAATCTCAGAGGGTCGACGGTTCCCCCCCCCCCCCCAAACAAAACGACGACACAAAGAGGGCAATTATATTATTGGTGTTTCTGGCCGAGTTTTCATCATTTAGCGTCGCTCTCTGCGCCCTTGCGTCTCGCTGCTGACCATGTCACGAGGCAGTCCACGAGAACAATGCACAATCGACTTCCATTGAAAGCTGCAGTCACGAAAGCTTCAAATCAAGATTCAAGTCCTAAATTATCACTAGCTTCTTGCAAAACAATGCCATGTAACAAAAAACAACTATTACCGTTTAGTTGTTGCTTGGTCTGTTAATAAGTCTATTTTGTGTTTTGACAAAGTGCACTTTAGCTTGGCTACATTTGTACGAGCAATGACTAAAGCTTAAACATGTGAGCGCCAGCTGTGTCTGGTTGAGTGACATCTAAATTACAGACATGTGCACGGACACGGCCACATGAAAAGAAAATCACTGGACACGTGGGAATAAAGAGCCTTCACATCGCAGCACTGACACGCACACAGTAGGACCGACGCCGTGTCGAACCGCGTGGGAAATACCAGCGACTAAAACACAAGGCTGGAACGCCAGTTGCGTCGGGTGCATTCTTTGCGAGCAGTGTGGCTGGGCCAGGGCTTGAGTGAAGAGATAAACGTGCCACAGACAGCCCAGAAAAGGCATACTTTCAGCACGGAATGGCACGGACTTATGGTGGTAGGCGGCTGCAAGGCAGAATGGAAACCGAGACAAAGCTATGCTTAAGGTATGTGACAGGCCAGTATTATGGCCTATGAAGCCACTCATAGAGAAGGGACAACCAGTTGTGGGCAGTGGAGAGTGTGCAGCATGAACCTGAACCGACTTGGCACAAATGGTTTATCACAGAGGTCACACCGTGACACTTAGTGCAAGAAAAGCAAGGTATCAACTTGGTCTCAGCTGTCAATTGCTCTACTCAAGGGCATCAACCTCTTCCCTTCTGCTGGTGTTTGAGGTCAGAGTGCAGAGCTGGCACCACCAAGATCCTAGGTTCGAATCTGGGTTTCAGTGCTCGGTGCATATCCAGGTTTCTAAAGTGTATGGAGGATTTGATGGTCACAACCTGACCATACATTACTTCACCAAATAACCATCAGGTGACAATTTGGTTCTGCACTTAGGTCCAACTGTTCAGTTTGCCTGTCATTTGATGAAAACTGCTCTTTGCTAGAGCAGACAAAAAAACGCTGCCCCCCTCATTGTCTGCAGCAGAGGTCACTTGATGGGAATTCAGAGGTAGCTCTGTTAAAACACACTTTTGTGGTCCGTTCCCCAAAAACAAAGGGTTGCACTGCTCTGCCAGAGATCCAATGGACACTCTCTCTTGGCATGACACCAATAGAACATTAGGGATAAAATTGGTTGTAAATCACAACTTTTTTTTACGGGAGGTGTTCAGATGTTGGCGATTTACTCACGTGGGGCGCCTTCTGCCATCTCTATCGCGGTGACTCCGAGGGACCACAAATCGCTCTGCGGCAGAGACATCGGCACGAGGAGATTAATCGGCGATGCGAAACCGAGACGCGAACACAGACACCACCGCACGCTCGTTAATTATGCGCAATGCAAACTCGGCAATCTTGTGAAAGAACATATCCGAGTGCTCCAGTTCACATGCGCCAAAAGCCGAGTGTGCTGTAGCGAACAGTATATTAAAGATGTGGAACGGACTTCCAATGAGGATCACGTCAAAGAAAAGGGCACTGACAACCGCCGGTCGCCAATGTAATCGATTGGCAATTCACAATATTAGATTTTAATATACATTAAACCATCACTGAAGACAGGCGGTTTACGACGATCCACATTTACGACGATTATTTAACGTCACCATGGATAGATTTACGATGCGGAAACTTGATTTACGACGCGTCTTCCGACACGACTCAGAACACATTTGAATAGTCAGTCTGGTTTCCGACGTGACTTGGCGTGGAGCTTTTGTTATTCTCAAGTGTTGCTGAGGATGTTTACCTCTTAAACTCTGTTAGACACGGCCGATAAAAATAAAAACAAATCGGCAAGTGATGTTTCTACTGCCTATGGGAAAACAGTGGTCCGATTTACAATGATTTATGACGGGGTTTTCAGGAACGCGTTCTAACGTCGTAAAGGTGGGGACTGCCTGTGTTAGGATTCTTTTGAAACAAGTGTCCAACACTGTGATATTTGGCCAATTCCATCGATGAGTGTTTGGCACGGGGAAAGAAACTTGAGAAGCTGGAGAAAACCCATACTGATACAAGAGAATAACAAAGCAATGATTGGTAAGTATACTGATGGTGCTATGCTATTTATACTTTAGTTTTTTATGTAGTTTATACTTTAGTTTTCTACGTGGTGGTTGAGTAACTGCAGCTACATATCATTAACATTCCTTTCCTTTGTTACTGCTAATCCCTGCACCCCCCCCTTGGTGCTGTTGATCCTGCATAATGCATGGGCATAATATGACTTTGAAACCCCCCCGCCCACCTCCTACGCATTTTCCATGAATATGCTAAATTCCTCTTCACATGCACATTCTTTTGTTAAGGCGCTCTTTCCTCCACCTCCAACGCAGCTTATATATAAGCTCCTAGCTTGGCATTGTCTCATTCTTCACCTGAAGACGGCTGCTTGCGTTGTAGCCGAAACGTCGTGAGAATTGTTTTATTATGTTTTATTTTTATTATTTTATTACTTCCCTTCTACGTGACTTTACCGAAAGAACCAAGAAGATGAATCCCTGCAGTCACGAAAGCTTTAAATCGAAACTTTAAATCGAAATGTATGTAGAACTTAGTTTGCAGCGTACGTAGTCAACCGTGCTAATCGGAAGTGCGGGGGAAGGACAAAAAACTAAACACAAAAATAACCAGAGTTCAAGAATCCATTACTGATACGCATTTGTTAAAGCAAAGGACACGGACCACTACCGATCAGCACGTGTTAAAGGACGTTGAGTGCCATGTGTTAAGGGATAGATAGGTGTAAACACAGACCATCGATTACCCCCCCACCACCACCAGCCAGGTGAATATCCCACCACCAAACAAAACACCACGGGGACATCGTTCAGTTGGTTGCACGACGTACTCTGTAGTCGTAGGTGGCGTCCGGGTTCTCGTCGCAGGCGATCACCTCGGGCGCCATCCAGTAGGGCGTCCCGATGAACGTGTTCCTGCGGCCGACCGTGCGGTCCAGCTGAGCGCTCACGCCAAAATCGACTGAGCGAGGAAGAGGGATACAAGGGGGGTGGCGGAGGTGGCGGCGTGGGGGAAGAGGCCGAGAGAGGGAGAGAGAGGGGGTGGAGATGAAGGCGAGGGTAAAGTCAGTTTAACATGTCGTAGTAGGCTTTCGCAACCAATATTATCCACAAAAGGTTCTTATTGGGTTTGATCGCATAAATGTCGTTAAACTCGTCACCACCCGACACAGCCAATTAGTAAGGTTTGTCACGTAAATAAAACGTGGCAATTAGTTACTAGTTCAGCTACCAGTGTGTTGGAGAGTAAACTCACAACGTTTACAATTCAAGTCCTGCGACGTTTCGCCGGTAAATTATGGGTGGAGCGCAGGCAGCGTTGGTGGTCACAGCTGTTCAGGCTCTCGGGCGAGTTAATTCTCGGGGACTCTGCGACTTCTGCGTGGCGCAGGCGGGATGCATGTATTAAAGAAGACACGACCGGCTGTGTCAGCAATCCCCTGGCAGACGCTCGCTCACTCACTCACTCGCTCACTCACTCATTAATTTTCAAGTGCGGGGCGTTATTTGCTGGGATGGCAAAATGTCACATCCCTCGAGCGGACTAAGTGCCACTCGGTGTAAAAATACAACACGGAAAAAACCAGGCCGCACAGGCCTAAACGTACGTGGTGGTGACCTTCTGAGTTTGCGTCCTCGTGTGGGTGCACCCGCAGCGTAAATTGTGCACGAGTTGGTGTGCGCTCACCAACTGCTATGCCTCACCAGCCCTGACAAGTGCTTGTTCAGCATGCAGACCCAGTAAATTGTCTTTGTTGTGCATTATTGTACGAGAAGTGGTGGTTCGCAGTGGTTTGCGCACGGACACCACAATTCCAGTCACATGGGTTCAATTTCTAACAATGTAAAATATCAGTGGCGAGTGATCACTTTCACGCATTGTAATGCTCACGCGAGGCTTTCAAGGCCGATTCAATGACGCTGCTCATCCTAAGTTCGTGTAAGGGAACAAGTTCACATGTGCATGTCAATGGGGATGTGTGTGTGTGTGGGGAGTGGTCGTGCAGTGGTTAGCACGCTGCGCTATCAATCCAACACGCCGGGTTAGATTCCCGCTCACGACCAACACCGGTGACGATTAACTGAATGGGTCCTGTGCCTCCACCAGGTCGACTCAGCTTCAAATGAGTACCTGGTGTGGAATGTAAATATCGCCACTGGGGAGACAAAGGCAGCTGGGAGTAGTGTTGGCCACCCACCCTCCTCGTGCGCCGTGTTGGCCTTCATTAGGCACTCGCGAACAGCACTAGACACAACAGTCTGGTAAGTCTATATGGGGGATGTTTGTCTTTGTGTGGCAATAGCGAAATGGTGTTTGTGAACGCCCACCATGTGGTTATACTGTCATCCTGTTTGTATGCGCGTGTACGCTTGCATTTGTTCCCATTGCTCATCAATTTTTTCCTCGGATGAAATAATGGGCCCGCCAGGAATCAATACGTTGCTAAAAACACACCTAGTACTCTGCGGCAATGTTCAATAAAGTGCACTTAAAGAGCGCCGCACGGAAATGTAACAAACAAGCCAAGGTTTATGGTTCATTATTTAATAATGTTAATCAACAACTCCAGATATCAATCCGCCTTGGGAAAATTCGAAGCGACTGGAATGTTATACCGACCGCCCTCGACGGCAAACTTCAACGGCAGCGAACGTTGAACGCGACGGGCAAATAGCGACAGCAAATCCCGCCAGAAGCAAGCCACAGCTACGGGCCAGGGGTGGCGAGCGAGCGGGTAGTGGGGGGGGGGCTCACCCAGTTTGACTTCGGCGTTCTCGGTGAGCAGCACGTTCTGTCCCTTGATGTCGCGGTGGATGACCCGGTGGGCGTGCAGGTGGGACAGGCCCTGCGTGGTCGAGACGCACGCACACACAGCCACGCCGCCGGTGAACTGGCGAGGTCGGGGAGCGCGGTCGAACGTTGCGAAAATTCGTCACGTGCGGTGCGAGTGGATTTGTGATTTGTGCGGAAAGAAAGCGGTAGCTTTTACATTTTTTTTAGTGATTTGATAATTAGTCTTGATCGTCAAGAGGTCGTGAATATTAAAACAATTTTTTCATTTTACCAGGTAAGGTCCACCGAGCTGTATAGCTCTTTTTTAGAAGCGACCTGGCCACAAACTTCAGCTCAAGAAGTGGCTAATCATGTGGACATTTATTTCAGCCTAATATTCTAAAACGCATGTTTTTAAATGTGGAGGGAAGTAATGAGTAGAATAACTAACTGTAAGGTTGACATATTTATACAGGACGGTCCATGCTCCACTGAAACAATAATCCAATGATAATGCAATTACCTGTTCGGATGAAAGAAGATCATTATATATTAGTGGGGTATCTGTAAATGGATTACCCTGCCGACAAAAGTATTTGTCAGAGCATAAAATGTATTTTAATTACAAAATAAACTTTAATCTGGCTTTAAATAAAGTCTTTGTAAATATGTATGGTCAACATAACAGGCTGCTGGAAGGAGAGGGCTCATCATGACGACTGTTGTCTACGGTTTGGGGAGAGGCCGATATAGGGGCCATGAGGGATGATTGAGAACCCGGAGCACCACAGCGCAGCGGTCAATTATCCCGAGCGCTGCTCGGAGTGCGGAGAATTGCCAAAACGGGGCTGTGTAATATTGCCAATGTGCTAACACACCCAACTTGTTATTAACATGGGTAGGACATGTGTGCAGGATGGAGGAGGGCAGGTTACGGAGACAGGCACTGGAGTGGCACCCAGAGGTTTGTGACCAAAGGGAAGACCCAAAGCCAGATGGTGTCCGTGAGGGATTGCGAGAGTGGTGCTTGAAAGACATGTCAAGTGCATAACAAGGACAAAACCTAAAAGCAGATGGTGGTGATGTACATTGAACTTCTTTTGGACCATACGTAGCCAACGGTGTTAATCAGGTTACGGGGGAAGGACAACAAACTAATCGCCGATGATGACAAGACGAAGCAACGGTCCTTGAAAGACGCATTAAGTTTGTACCAAGGGGCGTTCAGTTTTTAACGCGGTCAAGCGGAAAGCGTTGGCGGTGCGTGCTGGATTTCCGTGACGACCTCTCGAGAGACAACAGAGGGAAGTGAGGTTCAGTGAGAACTTGGTCTCAAACCCGGCGGAGAGGCGCATATTGGACACGAAGGTCCATCTTCTATTTTATTATTATTATTGTTGTGGTAAGAACACGAGTCCGGGACAGAAAAACCGCGAGGTGTGGGTCTATCAGCGTTTCATAGACATATTTAAGTTGGTCTGGTAGGCTCGATGCGCCAACCTATGGGGACAAGGGCCCATATTCTTAGTCACGGCTTGGCTCTGAAAGTAACTTGCGGACCCTCCCCTGTTGGACATCTGTAAAAAAGAGCTTCATAGATCGGATTCTTCCAAGATTTCAATTAAAGATTCTTATTCGGTATTCTGAAGCGAGCCGGCTCAAAGTTGTGCTTAACTTGAGTCGACACTCCACAAAGTCCCAGCCACGCTCAGAATTTCCGTGAGCCGAGCCTAAGCCACCCCATGGCCGAGTTGATCGTGCGTGTTTGAAACCAACATGAGCGGCCCAAGACCGAGCCAAGTCACGTGAGAGGACGAGCTGTAGCAGAGTCGTGACGAACATCGCCCGATATACAGGAGGTCAGGGGTTCCATGACGAACCTGACGTTTGTATATATGGAATTTGCATGTTCACCACGTGGTCTCGTGAATTTTTTTTCCTCCGGGTCCTCCGGTTTTTACCTCAAGATTTAGAATTTCCACACGATAATCCACTTTGTTGAGCTATCATTTATGGCCAGATCACTTCTGAAATGTAAGTTAATGCCTCAGTGGGCTTTACCGGGTAAGAGGAGTAATTTCGTTTTACTTGTATATATTTTTTTATTTGTTTACCTTTCCTATACTTTGCACTCCTGTCGTGTTTGTTTATTGTTGTAACGTTCTGACCCCGTGCCCCTACTGGACATCTGTGAAAAAGAGCTTTATAGATTCCTCCTCCTGCAGTAGAAACAAATATTCTGATTCTGAACAATATGGCACTAAGAGTTCCATCTCTGGGGACGGGGGGGGGAACTTCAGTGGGTGGCACCGTGCTTGCTGCTGTTACCCGCAGGATCTCTCTGCAGATGTAGGCGATCCAGTCCTCCTTGAGCGAGTTGCCCTTTGTGTTCTTCACCAGGTCGGTCACAGAGCCCGCGCCGCAGAACTCCATCACCAGCTAAGGGCCGCCGAAAATCGGCAGAAGACAAGAGTGAGCCTCACGCACGCACGCGCTCCGTGCGGGCTCCGCACGCGCTCCGTGCGGGCTCCGCACGCGCTCCGTGCGGGCTCCGCACGCGCTCCGTGCGGGCTCCGTGCGGGCTCCGTGCGGGCTCCGTGCGGGCTCCGTGTCGGGCGGTTAGAAACGGGTTACAGGCAGGCGGCGGAAGGCCCCGAGACAACCCTCTCCGCATCCACGTTCCGCGACTCCCCAAACGGGAGTTGCTCATCGTTAAGATTGACTCGGCGATCGGTGGCATTGGGAGGCCGGAGAAAGCCGAGGCTCCACGTGACCGAGGGCAGCCCCCATCTGAACCAGGAGCGAATTAAAGCAAAAAAGAATAAACTACGATACCTCAATATCAACCCCCGCAGTATCCTAGAACATTAACTTGTCGTGCATAATTAAAAACAGCTCTCCACCTTTTGTCAAACACACTGTGTTATGTGAAACGGTTACATCGTAGGAATGATGTTTTGTGAAATTGCCAATTTAATAGAGTTTATGATTTTTTAAAATATAATATATATACATACACACATGCTAATGCTTTGGGCAGTGGCCTTTCTTCTTGGCCTATCCAAATGGCTATTGCACAACTTGATATGGCAAGCGAGACCATTGTGCCAAGATGGTGTTCGTGGCGAGTGTTTTGCATTTGTGCACGACAACGTAACGTTTATGGGACATCAATCACAACCGCTCGCTTGGCCAGCAGTGTGTGCATACAACATACTTTACTATGAGCATTATTATATCTTTAAGCGAAATGCAACCCAAAACAAACACTTCTTGTGCAGCAACACCGATTGCATGTTGCGGGCTACCCTACACTATTTCGATTTAAAGCTTTCGTGACTGCAGGGATTCATCTTCTTGGTTTTTTCAGTAAAGTCACGTAGAAGGGAAGTAATAAAATAATAAAAATAAAACATAATAAAATAATTCTCACGACGTTTCGGCTACAACGCAAGCAGCCGTCTTCAGGTGAAGAATGAGACACTGCCAAGCTAGGAGCTAGGAGCTTGGCAGTGACGGCTGCTTGCGTTGTAGCCGAAACGTCGTGAGAATTATTTTATTATGTTTTATTTTTATTATTTTATTACTACCCTACACCAGTCTAAAGCTTTGTCAAAGCACCGTGGTGGCGAGACGTTAAATACCTCGCCTGGTATACAGCAGGTAGTAGGTTTGATCCCCACCCTAGACGCCTGTATATTTGAAGTTTGCATGTTCTCCCAGTGGTCGCGTGGATTTTACCTCTGGTTTTTCCCTCCACATTTTGAATCAACATACTTTTAGAGTATTTGGCTGCTGTACATTTCCACGTGATAAGCCACTTCGCTGGGCTATGACTTGTGGCCAGGACGCTTCTGAAAATGAGCTATTTAGCTCAGTGGGCCTTACCTGGTAAAAAAAAAGATAATTTTAGTTTATTAAGGAGTAATAAGATACTTTGGTGGTTTCACGGTTAATACACTGGACCTGCAATAGTAACCAGTTTAATACCCCATCGAAGCAGCCGATACAAGGGGAAAGTGTTAAATACCTCCCCCTGTCTGTCCACTCGGCAGTATGAATAAGGTGTTTTTTACCTTGGCTAAACATCTTGGAAGACGTGGGTGTACCCACACTACTCCACCACACCGACTGTTGACGCATAAACAAAGCTCCAAACTGTTGTAGAACGACAGATCGAGACACAGGCGAGGTCTGTGTCTACAAGATGAAAACTGTTTTCTGGGAAAGGTCTCCCCCACCCCTCACCACCCTCCTCAATGCTTTGGACCTCGGCGTTCCCCGCCAGCGCTAAACAGGCGCCAGGCTGCACACCACCTCACCCAGAGCTGGTCATCGTGCCCCGGAGGGCTCTTCTTGATGAAGGCCCCGTAGTAGGTGGCGATGTTGCGGTGGTGCGAGTACTTCTTCAGCATGTTGATCTCCAGCTTGATCTCCTCCTCCTCGTCCTGCCGCGAGCAGCAACACAAATCACACGACGAGGTGAGAGGCGAGAGGGGCGTCACGGCGGCACAGCACGGCATCGCGACAACCGACGGCCCGGTTTGCAGTTACTCTGCGTGATATTAAAAAACCGCAGGTCTCAGCGTCTTATTCAAAATTTATTATGCAATGATGCTATTGTAATCGCAACGTGAGAAGACGTGTACATTCAAAACTCTGAGAGCATTGCATAACCCGTCGGGTAAGAAAATGGCCCGTGGAAGGTGATATAGCAGAACTACTCCTGACATCCCCTGCAAGTGACCGCTTATCCACACTGGAGGTGTTGCACTTCGCATGGCAGTAAAAAAATATTTCTTTATTTTGTAATGCTCAGTGCTAAGACTTTTGCGGAATTAATTAAAAATTCCAATTGAATCCCACACGTCCTCTTTTAACGCGGGAGATGCATTCCTCAAAAGTGTCACGGAATGCAAAAACTATTTCCCCATAGAAATCTAACGATAAAATTTGGCGCGATACGATGTGCGCACACACACACGCAGCAAGACGGCGGGACACACGACGGAGGTGACGCCGCCACGTCCCTGCTTCATTGCGTGCACTTGATCACCGTGTCGCCCAGCCGCTCAGCCCAAGTAGCTCGTCGACGACCGCTCAGAAATCGCGTTTTGACGGTTGCGTCACGTGGAGTAGCGGTGCGTGTTCCGCGTTACGACAAGCGTTCGCAAATGGAAGAACGTTATAGTGAAAGTGTTGTGTATGTAGAACTTCTTTCGCACTGTACATAGCCAACCATGCTAATCAGGTGTCTGAACACGAGTTAAGCGAGGACTCACCGCATTGTATATATTGTTTATGCAGTCTTTGGTGACCAAGTGTGCGTACCGTAAACTTGCTACACTTAAAGTGCCCAGTTTCATCCCAGGCAGCCTAAAGGTTTGCTACAATACATTAATATGGACCACAACTGTGGATGCTGGCAACAAAAACCAGAAAAAACAAAGTTGATTTATACCCAGGATCTCAGCAGTGCTGACTCGGCATCTCCGAGCCCTTAAGGCACCCGTCCACCTCCCTGCTTTTGTTCGATTTTAATGTCACTACATGGGGTAGAAACGTGCATTTAATAAACCCAATTTTCCAGATCGTGTAGGTCACTCGTCAGATAATTTTTTTTTACCAAACACGCCACCACGGCCCGACAGGCTGGGCCTTTCCTGTTTAGGGGGGACAATAATAGTGCGAACACTGGCAGCGGTCTTTTGGTTGTTTCCATTTGGATCTTTTTAACGCCAACAGATTCCATCGCGTCAGTACAAACACTCAAGGGGAAATAAATCTTGCTCGTGTGCTGTGGTTACCACCGGCGGATTTTGATTTGGTGTGGTGGTGCTGGGGAGGGTTCACTAATTAGAGAGAACTTTCATGAGGTGGTTAAAAAAAATACTAATTCGACATTTTTTGCAAACACAACAATTAGAAAAAACCCACAGCACATTTATTGGCAAAATGACCATACCAAGCCACGTGCAGGAAGCCCGTCACATAAACAGATATAAAACAAGACATACATCTCCTGAAGATAAAAGCCCTAATCATGCAGCAACGACAGACAGCCATCAAATATAATCAAGTTGATGTTACTTATTCACTTGTGTGTCTGTTGCATTGGCAGCTCTGCCACACAGGGACCGGTCATCTCTCTCTTGAACCTCAACTCAAATCACCGTCTCGGTCGTCGGGATTGAAATAATAGTCTCCTCCAGAGGCAGGAATGAGAGCACACGACGCCCGCTCTCGGCCTGCCGACTCTTTTCGCTAGTGTAGCAGTTGCTTTCTGCACGCTGCGTGTTTCGATTGTCAGCCACGGCTAACGTCAGTCAGTGAAGAGGGACGTACAAATTATTCCGGATGCGGCTTCCCCGGGTTCGGGGCTGTGACAAACACCTCTACCTCGTCTAAAGAGCCACGACACCACTCAACCAGAATATGTCGTTTGATCGCCAAGTGCAAAACGTGGTCAGGTCCTGCAATTTCCATATCAGGGCTCTACGACACAGACCACGAATGAGGCGTGACATGGCCAACACGGTGGTGCGGCAATAATATTAACAAGGCTCAATATTGTTTGGCACGTGTCGTGACGGGTGCTGCAGGATCCGACCATATCCATCCAGCGCTTGCCGAGCTGCATTGGCTTCCGGATGCCCAACGAATGCGTTGTAAGGTCGCACTCGTCACACACAAAGTGCTTGCCACAAATAAACAACAACACCTCGCTGCTGTTCTCGTCAAGAAGCTTAAACCATCATCACAAAAACTCCGGTCATCCTCACAGCAGGAGCTTTTGGCTGACCATCGAACAAAGACGGTCACCGCATTGTGCGCTTTCAGATGTGCTTCTGCGGCCGTCTGGAACGCTCTTCCTTTTGATATGAAGAAGCCACTGGAGCTGTGTGTTTGTTAATCTCGATTGAAACTCATTTCTTCGGGACTGCTTTTAATGTTTAGTTTGTTGCCCTTCCTCCGCATCTCCGATGAGCACCGTATGCCGATGTATGGTGCGAGTGATATCCGATCCAGCCTGGCACCGTGCCCTTCAGCAACGTGCACCGACAAGCATGGTGAATGATAAAAAAAAACCATGACGGACCGAGAATTGGGAGGCTTTACCCAGCAGTGGATTGACAAAGGGATGGAAATTATTATTATTTTATTATCCGTGTGTTTTTACAATGTTGGTAATGGCACAACAAAACATAAACCGTTAACGGTGAGGATCCAGAGCCTGCACATCTGTACTGCATTACCACTTGACGGACTAGCGAGATGTTTTCAGAGAAACTCGAATATGCATTACCCAACTCCCATTCTGAACCGCTCGTGTCATCGCTACCAATCACCTCGGTTTACATTTTATTTTGCGCCCTGAGGCTCTAAAATGCTGCATAACAGGATCAAACAAAACCAGGGGTGAGAATTCAACAATTATTTAAATATCCGGAACGACCGCACCGATTGCAAGGTGGTCGATTCCTCCACCGGGCCGAGTCTTGCGACTTGTCGCTGCCGTAGAGCGTCGCTCTCGTTCACGCGATAGGATTTTAATCCTGTATCCAGCCCGACCTTCACGACCGGCATCGCGTCAGCAGCAAGGCACTGCTCTACTCCATTCCAGGAAGCACTCCCTTGCTTCCCGGAAGCACAGCCACGAGGAGAGACAACGCAGAACTAATCTTGCTGTATGTGAAGAAATCCCTCTTGCCTGTCCAAGGCACTATTCAGTTGCTGAGGCAAGCATTTATTTTCATCCCTTTTCTGACACGCATTTCTGCTCGTCGGCGTTTGCCAAAATCAAACGCACATGCTGTAGCAATTTCAGTTTTGCCCTTTTAGGCAATCGTTTTGTGTGGTGGCTTTGTCCCCGACACAATGGAACTCGCTAAACGCAGGCAACTTGTTTTTTGACATATGGGGGTCAAACCTGGACTTGATCAAGAGCAGATCCTCGGAGGTGACGAGGCGAAGCGCGAGCTTTGCGAGCCAGACCTCCCTCGTGCGATATCAGAGCAGGACTCGTTCAAGGCCCTATGTGCTTAGTCGTTGAAAAATTGGGTAGCATTCCCAAATTTTCATACCGCTTCTCATTTCATCTACATTCCAATCAGCCCCACACCCCAACCAATCAACCCTTTCCTCATTCCGAGACGTCTGCAAGCTGCAGGGTGCGTGTCCCGTTCACCGCTGAAAACACGGAACGCGCAAGCGGTTAACGTTTAATTTTATTCAGAGGCATAGCGCCATTGTTTTCAAAACACACATTGTACTGTACTCACTGCAGAGAACCGGAGCGACACGACCGCACTATGATAGTTGGCGCCAAACTGTGCCACACGCCCTCTCGCATGGCCTTGTGGGAGCCTCGGTACGTCTTCCGACTTCATTTTAGTTTCACACGGTGCGTCATTGGAATGGGAAAGGGTCAACAATCATTACGGTACATCCCTCTTCGGTGCAAGGGTCGCCATGCTTTAGGTGGCTTGTGGATGGTGTGCTGCTCTGCTACTCATATTCTTAGGTTTTTTCGGTAAAGTCACGTAGGTAAAAAATTAAAATTAATAAAAGTAAAATAAAATAAAAATCACGACGTTTCGGAGGCAACACAAGCTTCCGTCTTCAGGTGCAACCGTCACAGCCCAAATCGTGTTTTTGTTCCGATTTCCTTTCAATACGGTTGCCTTGCCCAACTCGGCAATTGGCAACGTCTCTCTGGCAAACCGACCCTCGGCGTCGGCGCACGCCCGTGACAGACCGGTGAAGGATATCGCGAGAATTTCCGTCGCGTCTCCAGGAGGGGGCAGTTTGCACGCGGCAACGCCACAAGGCGTCAATGCCCTGGGGTCAAGTAGACTGCGTGGCTGCTGCTCGTGCAAAATGCCGCCTTGCAGTCCCACTCCTCGTCAAACCCCGCCAAAGCCACCGTGGCATCCCAACATCAACGAACGACGCCGTGAAGATTGTGAGCGCACCGCTGAACTCCTGGGTTCGAATGAGAGCGTTGGTCACCCGAGATTAAAACAGAAATCTCGAATTTATCGAGTTGATGGTTTGTCCAACCAACAATGACTGCACAAAAACACCCATAGTATTACTCGATCCAATTCATTTTCCCCCAAAGAAAGTCACACCCGAGTCTCAACTCGTTTCCAGGATTGTCCTCATCAGAATATTTGTCCAGTTCCAAATTAAGGAGTGTTTTGCTTGCTGTGGAAAACAAATAAGCAGAACAAACCATGTGCCACTCAATAGTCTGCACAGATGGGTTCATGCCCCCCACTCTCCAGGCATTAACCCTGTAACAATTTGTCCCCCCCCCCCTTGTGATTCAATAACTTTCCACATTTCAGGGTCACGGTTCAAGTCACGCGGTCTTTTTTGTTTTCCACCACATTGCAGGGCACTGCAGCACTCCAGGCGGCTGCATGGGTCATGCAAAATGCAC